TCCATTAATCCTGAAGTTGTTTTTTAGAATAGTCAGACTAATTCACATAGTATGCTATTCACATATAGTGTGTTTGACTTCCTCCAGTCTCTTCACCATTGGCTATTTCCATGTTTTATAACCACTGCCAATTTGATGGAAAGAGATAAAACCTTAGAGTTGTCTTAATTTGAATTTTTCTTATTATAAGTGATTTAGGGAATTTTTCTATGTGGTTATGATTTTTGCATTTCTTTTTGAAAAATGTTCATATACCTTGACCACTTATCTATTGTGAAATAACTCTTGGTTTTACATGGTTATGTCAATCCCTTATACATCTGGCAAATCTAAATTTTTTCAGATATATTTGGCACAATGAATTTTTTCCCTCTTTAACCTACAAAAGCTTTTAAGTTTTAAATAATCAAAATTGCATATTTAAAAATTTTGAGTATTTTCCCTATCCTATGGTTAAGAAGTCTTCTAGCATATTTCAATGTAGTTATTCAATACACATGATGCAAAAATAACAATCAAAATGAATTTTTTTTTCAGTTCTGCTGCTTTCAGCTCAGCAGAAAGTTTTCAATATAAATTCATTCCTCTTGTTTTATGTGGTTCTGCTTAATGGATGGTAGCATACCTTAATTTCTTATCCATGTTTGGATATTTTAATTTTGATTTCTAATCAGTGTAACAGGAAGAAGGTCAGTTGGCTGGACAATAGAATTTAAGAAAGGGAGGGAAGTATAATAAGGCTGGAAAAATAGGTTGGGGCTAGATTGTGAAGCACTTTAAAAGCCAACCAGAGAAATTTATATTTGATCTGGGAGGTAATAGGAAACCACTGGAGTTTATTGAGTAGGGATGACAATTACATGCTCCAATCCTTACTTTAGGAAAATCACATTGGTGATCTGGAGGATGCATTAGAGTGGTGGCTACAGAGTAGAGAGAAGGGGATGGATGTGGGAGATGCTGTGGATACAGAAAAGATACAATTTTTGTAATTGTTTGAATATATGGGGTTACTCAGAGTGAGGAGATGAAGATTACAAGGAGGTTTTAAACCTGGGTTATTAGAAAGATGGTGGTGCTCTCTACAGAAATGGAGAAGTTTGGAAGATGAGTGGACTTTGGGGAAAAGATAATGTAACAAGATCTGCATACAGATTGTAACCATGCAAATTACTTTGTCTCATGCAAAATGGAAAGGGGAGAGCAGGCTCACCAACCCAAATTACAGAGCCCACCCTTTGAGTGGGCTACTGTAGCAATAAGGAGATCTGGGGGACCAAGAGAGGGCATACTGAGGGTGGGGATTTTCCCAGTAGTACTTACGCAGCTGCTGTTAGGGTTGTCTGGTTACGATTAGGTTATGTAAGTGGGCTATAATCCAAACCCAGGATGTTTTGCGTGTGGCTACATTTGCAGGAGATGGTGGCTATAGATTATTGGAGAAAATGCTAAGTACTTGTGTAAGGGACTTAAGGAGTTAGTTATCTGAAGAAACAGTTGGACTGAGGAGAGTCCAAGGAGGAAGAGAAAGACTGGGAAATAGATGACATGTATGGGAAACTGGTCATGTCATGTTTTTGGACTTGCTTGAAGTTCTAGAGGTCACTAGAATGAACCTTCTTTGGCTGAGAGTTCTTTCTTTCCTGGTTTGAGCTGAGATATTATCTCACTCTCAACTGGAAAATTCATTAACTCTTGTCCATTTTCCTGGCATGTTCTTCAGTTTCTGTTTGTTGTTTTGCTTGGATAAATGGGTTTACTATTTGCTATTTGTGATGATTTTTTTTTTTTTGGTGTGATCAGTGTTTGGAAATAAGCTGATAAGTCTAAACTAAGGACTATCATCCCTCTTAAGAGTGACCAGGGAAGTAGCTTTTCTTCTGAACCTTTAAACACTCTTCCCTTAGACTGTTCCTCTCATGTGAGAGAGGCAGAGAGATATAATTCTAGCCCAATATCTCTCTCAGAGACTGGAGAAAAAAGCACTCGGGCTTGTGGCTTTCCTGGGAACTGCTTGTCCCTACCCCCAAGCTCTAGCTAGAATCTAGACACTACCCTTGACTCTCCCCTCTGTGGAGCTGAGCTAAGTCTCTGACTATATCTATCTACGCTACCCACAAGCTTTGTCTGTACATTCACACAAACCACGTGGACATGCCACTCATCTTTTATGAATACATACTTATCTTTCTACCCTGTGGTGCCAATGTCCATTTCGGGTTGGGAGCTTGCATAGTGGTAGGAGGGGGTGGAAGTGAGGCAGTATTGGGTTGTAATGAGTGAAGGGAAGATGTAGCAGTGTTGGAGATAAGCCCTATGATTGATTGGTAGAAGAGTGAGATGCAACCCATACTTCTACTCACCACTGGTTCATCACAAACAGCTTGGGATCGTGCCTTGGCTTCTGAGGAGGCATTAGTGCTCATTCTAGAGACCATTGCTTAAGAGGAATTTTGCTAGTATTTTGTCTAGTTGTATAAAATATCCCTTTGGCAGTTTGATAGGTATAGCACTAAATCTGTGAATTAATGTGGGTGGTGTCATAGTTTTAATTGTATTGATATGGCCTGGATAGGATAAACAATGAATTCCTTTCAAATTATTAAAGTGCCTTCATTTCTGTAAAAAGTGCTTTATAGGATTTATATATAATTATATTATAGTATATCATATATATAATAAAAATATTTTGGTATTTATATAAATCCCAAGTATCTGACTGGTAGCTTAACTGTCAAATATTTAATGCCATTTATAGTTATTTTTAATGAAATCTTTCTCTCTCTCTATTCCTTTGGGGTTTTGTTAATGATATACAGAAAAGCTGCTGCTGTTTGTAGATTTTTCCACTGCATCACATTGCCTTCTCATCTGCTTTGCCTGCTCATTTCACAAAGGAGGAAGCTGAAGCCCAGGCAGTGGACCCAGAAATGACTGCTGTTGGGTAAATTTTCAAGGGGATTTTTGTTCAGGTACAGGTTGGACTAGAATGCCATTCATGTTCTTTCTAACTCCGAGAATCTGTGACCACAAGACTTAGAGCTAGAAGGATCTTAGGCTGAAACTAGTTCAACTCTTTTATTTTATATGAATACATCTTCCTCCATTCTTTCTTCCATCACCCGTGTTTCACACAGAAAAGTGGCCTTTCTCCTTGCTAAGGAAAACTCCTCTACATTCAATGATCTCATTCCTTCCTGTCTTTTCCAGCAGATTGACCCCCTCTAACATCCCTACTCTCTTACTTATCTTCAGTTTCTCCCAGTCTATTGGCTTCCCTACTGACCACAAACATGGCCACAGTGCCATCATCCTCAAAAAAACCTTCACTTGATCTATCCATACTCACTAGCTATTCTTCTATATCTCCTTTCCCTTTTGTGGCTAAACTCTTCACAAAGAGTGTCTACTTCCTTTCCTCTCACTTTCTTTTTAACTTTTGCGGTCTGGTTTCTGACGTCACCATTCAATTGAAACAGCTCTCTCCAAAGTTGCCAGATCTCTTAGTCGACAAACCTAATGGCCTTTTCTCAGTCCTCATTCTTCCTGACCACTCTGCAGCCTTCAGTTCCCTCTTTCTTCTCGATATTCTCTTCTAATGACACTGTTGGGTCTCCTGGTTCTTCATTTTTGCTGGACCCACTAATTGTGGGGGTTCCTCAAGACTCTGCCCTGGGCCCTCATCTCTTTTTACTGTACATGATGTCACTTGGTCTCATCAGCTCCCATGGTTTCAATTATCATTTCTATCCAGATGATTCTTAGATCTACTTGTCCAGCCCTAATCTCTCTCCTGACCTCCAGGAGTTGTTATTAGATTTCTTGAACTGGATGTCCTATAGATACCTTAAATTCAACATATCTAAAACTGAACTTATTATCTTCCCCCTCCCCCAATCCTCCCCTTTTCTTAACTTCCTCAAGGTGACCACCAGCCTTCTGGTCACCCAAGTTCACAACCTAGGCGTCATCCTTGACTCTTCACTCTTTATCATTCCTTATATCCAATCTGTGGTCAAGTCTTATTGTTTCTACCTTCTTAACATCTCTTTAATATGGTTCCTTCTCTCCTCTGACTCTGAAACCACTCTGGTGCAGGCCCTCATCAACTCACATCTGGATTATTGCACTAGCCTAATGCTTAGTCTCTGTTCCATAAGTGTCTCCTTACTCTAGTCCATCCTTCTCTCAGCTGTGAAACTGATCTTCCTAAAGTGCAGGTCTGACCATATTACTCCCCTTCTCCCCCATCTCATAAACTTCTGTGGTTCCCTATTACCTACAGGATAAAATGTAAAATCCTGTTTGGCTTTTAAAGCCCTTTATAACCTTGTCTTTTGCTCTCTTTCCAGTCTTCCTACCCTTTACTCTCTTCCCCAAGAACTTTGCCACCCAGTGACCCTGGGCCCCTTTATTATTCCTTGTATGTAGCATTCAATCTCATGGCTCTGAACATTTCTTTGGCTGTCCCCCACAACTGAAATGCTTTTCCTCTTCATCACCTCCTGGCTTCCTCAGCAGAAATCCCCTTCTCTGTAGGAAGCCTTTTCCAGTCCTCCTTCATCTTAGAGCCTTCCCAATTTATCCTGTACATATCTTGCTTGTAAGTAGTTGTTGACCCATTAGGCTCAGAGTTCCTTGAGAGCAGGGATTTTTTTTCTTTCCTTGTACCCCTAGTGTTCAGTACAGTCCTGACACATACTAGGTGCTTAATAATTGCTAACTGATTGGCCACCTGCCATAGGGGAAGACAGTGAATCCCAGAGAGTTGAAGTGCCTTTCTTGAGGCCACACAGCTAGTAAACAGCAGAGCCGGGGTTCAGCTCAGGTCCTATGACTACAGATGTTCAGCCCTGGTTCCCCAGTTTCCTCCTGGGTTGCTAGGTCACTGAGTACCTGCACTGAGAATGGCTAGCAGGGGCCTGGATTTGCATGTTCTTGCCCCCAATGACAAAGAGGGAACTGAGACAAGGTGGGTCTTAGCATGTGGTTATGTGAGAGACGGAAGGTGGGGAGGATGAGGCTTGAGTCTTGATGACTGAAGGATCGAGCAGCAGAGGTATCCTGGCTCTTCTCCTCCCTGGCTGTAGGCAGTGATGTCTTTCACTAGCATGTATAGAAATTTCGCGTTCAAAGGACAAACAGGTATGATTTTGAGTCAGGTTTTGTCTGGGGGTTAGGGGACATGGTGGTTGTGGTAGGTGTCACTTTGACGGTCATGACTATAGCTTGGGATGTCTGGTGCCTCCATCTGAAATGGATTCATATGGCAAAGGGGGGATCTGGGGATGGGTACTAGTGAGGCATGTTCAGAGTGGAAGTTTGGTATGACAAATAGTCATGTGAGAGTTTGGGGCACTATTGTGTGCCAGCTCAGCTCCCATATCTACCCTGGCTATCAGAGTAGCAATATGCATGAGTGGAAATTACTTTTTTTTCTTTTCTGGAAGGAGTAACTGAAGGTCCAGAAGATGAGGATTATGAGAACATGGCCCCATCCAAAGAAGACCTTCCTCCCAAACCAGGGACCAGGAAGTTTCCAGGCCCAGGTGGAAGATTGGGATGGCTGAGAGGTGAGGAATGTGGGAGTACTGCCTGAAAGGAAGACCTCTCCCCACCCCTATCCCCCCTTCAAATGTCAGTAAATCAGATAATTTAGTCTGGGCAGAGACCTTAGATATCAGTTAGTCTGACTCATTTTACTGATGGGAAAACATGTCCATAGAGGAGAAGAAACTTGCCCCAAAGCCAAAGTCAGGACCTATCAGAGCTGGTATCTGATTCCAAGTCCAGATTGTTTTCTCTTCCATTATGTGACCAGCTGTGGGTTAATCAGAGGGTGGGAGAGGAAATCTTTATGGGCTGGGCCTCCATGTATCCCCAAGGAGGCAGGTATACCCAAGGACCCCTCTCTAGCCTTAGTTTCCCTACTCCCCACCTCTTCCCCAGCTCCATGCCACTGGGCACATCCCCTAGAGATCTGGTTCTAGACACTTGGTCTTTGGGCCACAGAAGCCTTGCAGAGAGAGGTTGGCTTAGGGCAGTGGTGTCAAACTCAAATAGAAATAGGGGCCAATAATCTGTAAATAAGAATTCCTATGGGCCACATATTGACTTAGTTTTAAAATGTAATGTTATCTATGTTTTATTAAATTTTTATTTATTTTGCTAAATATTTCCAAATTACATTTTAATCTGATTGGGCTACATTTGACCCCAACCCTACTCCCCACCCATGTTTGATACTGCTGATTTAGGAAATAGGGGAGCCTAGGGAATACAGAAGAAATAAGATAGTAGGGAGGTAGACCAAACTAAGTTGATTCACAGAGTTAGAGTTGAAAGAAACCCTATAGGCCATCAAATCCAACCCTTCATTTTACAGATGAGGAAACAGATTGAGAGAGGTTAAGTGACTTGTCCAGGATCACATAGCTAGTAAGTGTCTGAGGCAGGGTTTGAATTCAAGTCTTCTTTACTCCAAGCCCAGGGCTTTTGCTACTGCTACCTGGATGCCTCTTAAACGGGGGCGGCTAGGTGGTACAGTGGATAGAGCACCAGCCCTGAAGTCAGGAGGACCTGAGTTCAAATCTGGCTTCAGACCAAACACTTGACACTTACTAGCTGTGTGACCCTGGGCAAGTCACTTAATTCCAATTGTCTAAAAAAAAATTATGAACCAACAGCTTTTCTACTCTCTCCCCTAGGTTCAATAGCTCCCCCAAGACCTCCAAGAGCAGGTGAGCTGACTTGAGAAGATTTTCTGTGGGGTGGGGTATATCAGCCTTTGGATCCAGAGGCAATTATGGCTCTGGTCTCTTGGTTCCCAAAGACAGAACAAGAGACCAGGTTATACGATCACTTCATAGAACCAGAGAATCACAGAATTTCATAGTTAGAAGGTACTCCTGTGGTCATTCAAGCCAACCCACACCGAAAAAAGAATTGTCACCAAAATGTACTGGACAAAAGTTGTCATCTAGTCTCCTGAAGACCTCAGATGGAGGATTTTTATCTTGAAGAAGAGAAAATTTATGGAGACGTGATCATTGAGTTCAAGAATTTGAAGGCTCTCATGCGGAAGAAGGAATAGGATTCTGTTTAGCCCCAGAGGCCAGAACCAGGAGCAATAGTCAGAGGTTGTAGGGATTATGGTTTCATATAAAAAAGTACTTCCTGCCAATGAGAGCTATTCAAAAATGGGACGGGCAGCTTCAGGGCGTGGTCACTTTCCCATCACTGGAGGTCTTCAAGAGGAGGTCAGATACCTTGTAGTAGAAGATATTGTTTATGTGTGGACTAGACAAGATATGGTCTGAGAGCCCTTTCAGCTCAGAGATTTTGTTCTTCTCTGTCTCGCTCTTGCCCAGGGAAGAAAACAGTGAAACCAGCACTTCCCAGCAAGTCCCCACAAGCAGCAGGTGAGACCTTGGGCCACTCTTTTCCCATCACCTCTCCTGCTTAATGCTTTGTCCCAGGTAACTCTTCTCTCCTCTTTCTAGGCTTGGGCCCTGCTGTTGTGTCCTGTTCCCCGCTTCCCCAAATGGGTAAGTAATAGGCAGTCTCTGCCTGGGAATAAGCAACAGAAACATCCATGAGGCCTTTACTGCCCTCTACCCTACAACCCTTAGGATCTTCCCTGACCTCACTCTAGAGCCCTCTCTTCCCTATGTCTGCCCATTCTAATCAAGAAGCAGCATGTTATGGTCATTATAGCTCTGGCTTTGGAATCAGGAAGGGTTCAAATCCTTCCTCAGATACTAGCTGTGCGACCATGGGCAAGTCATTTAACCTCTCTGGGCCTCAGTTTTCTCATCTGTAAAATGAGGTTGGACTTTCTAGTTCTAAATCCGTGATCAAAGATGGAGGGAGAGCAGCAGGGTTGTAGGATGGTTTTGCTTACTTGGGTGACATGGTTACCTTGGTGAATTTTTTGTTTTCCACTCCCCTGCCTGTCAACCACCCCAGATGGGTGAGTCCTGATTCCTTGATGGACTCTCTACTCTCTTCCACAGTCAGAAGGCCTGGTAGCTGGAGCCCCTGAGTCTCCCCAACAGTTAAAAAGCTCAGGGTTTCATTATATTAAAATATAGTTATCAAAATAGTTTTAAAAAAGATGCCATGGACCCCTGATGAAGCACTGTCTGTCTTTGAGAGCCCTTTCAGCTCTGACTATGTAGGGTTCCACAAAAGCATCTGTATATCTTCTGGTTATAATGAAACATATTAAATTTTGTTATTGTCAAGAGATATTTAGAAATATCCACAAAACCACACAAATTGTAAGATCAAACTTAGTTGTTGCGGGGGAGGGGGGACTGTTGTGATATCCACAGGGATGAAAGGGAATAAGGGAGACAGAAAAACAAAGGCTAACATCCATACTTCAAAAATGGGAGACTTGGTGAATGACTTTCCCTCCCATAGAATTGATGAAGACTGAAGGAAGAATAAGGTTAGGAGAAGAGAGGAAGAAAAGAAGTATCTGTTAAGTGTCTGCTACGTTCAAGTGTAATGTTCTCGGCCACAAGCCATCTTCTGGAATGCAGCGTAGGGGCTTAGAAAATGTTTATTAAATAAAGGAATGAGCAAATGCATTAGTCAAAGCTGACTTAGCTGTAGGACAAGGCAAGATGCAGAACCAAGGAAGGGAGAGTTCCTGTCAATGCCCCCCCCCCTTTTTTTTTTTGGCAAATTGTCATTTCCCAGAAAGAGATAAACTGGGATTCCCTTCAGCTTGGGAAGGATAAACTATAACTAGAGCATCTTGAGTCATCAGTTCAGGATCTCCCACTGCCAAACTCTCATTTCTTTCCATATTAAAAAAAAGTATGCCTTAAAAAAATGATACTCATTTCTTCTCACCAATTCCCACTGGATTTTCCTTTGCAACAAAGAAAAATTGTTAAGTATGACAAACTTGCAAAGCGACTAAGTCTGACAATGTAGCCTAAATCTTGTAACTGTAGGTGCACTTCTCCCCTGAGAGGAAGGATGTGTGTCATGTCATCTGTTTTTTAGAACCAAAATAGTTCATTGCATTTACTCTGAGTCCAGCTGCCTTGAGGTGATGTTTTTGTTATGGCGTAGTCACTGCGTGTGCCATTCTCTTGCTTCTGCCATGTGTTTGGGCTTTGGTATCTTATCTCTATCATGGCTAAGAGAGACCCTTCTGAACTCCCTGGGTTACAGTTTTCTCATTTGTAAAGAAGAGTTCTTAACATTGTTTTTTGTGTCCTGGACCCCTTTGGTGCCTAGTGAAACCTAGAGACCCCTTCTCACATAATGTATGGTTTTTTTTTTAATAATTGAAGGAAGTGCCAAATTTCAATTAGAAGTTAGTGAAAATAAAGATGTAATTTTTCTTACTCAAGTGCACAGATCCTGAAATCTATCCAAAGTGCTGTTAGGGGTCCGTGGAGCCCAGGTTAAATGATCTCTAATGTCTCTTCCGTCTCTGGAATTAATATGATCCTATGATTCCTTCCTTCTCTCTTCAGTAAAGGCCCAAGGAATCATTTCTTTCCTTGGCCTCAAGCTTTGATGTCTTTTGCTTTTCACAGTTGTTCCCAACCCACAGCCCATCCAGGGGTTTCAGCTCAGCCGGGTACCCCAGTCCAGCCAGATGTCCCAGTCCAGCCAGATGTTGCAGCCAAGTCAAGGGCCACAGTTCACCCAGGAACCCCAGTTCAGCCAAGGGTTTCAGCTTACCCAGGTGCTCGAGTCCAGCCAGAAAAGAAAGATCATCCAGCTCACTCGGAAAGAGAAAATAGCAGTGTGCCTTTGTATGCTGGTGGGGATAGCATTGCTGCTGGGGGTGACAAGCCTTGCTGTGACTTTGATGAACTGTGAGTATGATTTGTAACATGAACATGGGGAAGTGACTGAATGCAGTCTAAGGCAACTGGTCTCATTACAGAAAACCAGGAAAGGATGTAAGAGTCAAGAGAGGTAGAGAATATTAATAATAGCAACAACTCATATTTTTATGATGGTTTATGGCTTCCAAAATGTTTCCCCCCCCCCAATAGCTTTGTGCAAATGCCATTATCCCAATTTAATAGATATGGAAGCTGAGACTCAGAAACAAAATGTGGTTATGTGGTTTAGGGGAAAGATATGGAGTCATAAGATCTAGGCTTGAATCTTGGATCTTCTACTTACTACCTGTGTGACTTTGGCTAGATCACTTAACCCTGCCAAGCCTTTCCTGAAGTATAAAATGAAGGCATTGTATGCCATGATCTCTAAGGTCTCTTCTGGCTGCAAATTACAGGATCCTACAATGTTTTCATCATAGAATTACAGGCTCTGTCCTATTCAACATTTTATAAGTGACTTGGATGAAGGCATGGCTGGCGTGCTTACTGATTTGCAGGTGAAACAAAACTAGGAAGGGACAGCTAATTTACTGGAAGTAAGTAAGATACAAAATTATCCTATAGGTTACAACAATAGGCCAGACTGAATGAGAGCCCTTTCATTAGGGATAAATGGAAAATTCTATACTTGGGTTCAAGAAATTAGCCTCATAAACAGGATGAGGGAATTACAGCTAGATAACAGTTTTTCTGAAAAAACAAAAAGATTTGGGAGTTTTAGTAGATGGCAAGTTTAATATGAGTCATCAAGTGTGACTTGGTAGCCAAAAATGCCAACACTACCCTATGCTGCTTTACAAGAGGTGAGGGGTCCAGAATAAGGAAAACAATAGTTGTACTATCATCTGCCTGGTCCTATCTGGAATGCTGTGTTCAGTTTGGGATACCTTATTTTAGAAAAGACACTGACAAGAGTAGGGGTTCTTAAGCTTTTGTGTATGTGTCATGGATGAACTCCTTTGGTAGTCTGGTGAATGACATCTCTTCTTATTCCAAATCCTATGATGAGTGAGAAGTCACTTAGTTTTCTTCCTCAGACCAGATGATAGTAGAACTGAAGATAGCGAACTTTCAGCAGATAGAATAGATAATGAATGATGATGAGTCAAGCAAGTAATTGGTCAACAATGATTTCTTAAGTGCCTGCTATGTATCAGGCACTATGCTTTGTACGCGCAGGGCATGCAAAGACCTTAAGGAAATAATCCCTGCCCTCAAGTAACTTACATTCTGTGGGGGGAGACAACATGTATACGTGTAGAAAGATACAAAGTAGATATCAGGTGATCAATACAAATATATACAAAGTAAACATATACAAGTAAATATATACAAAGTAGATATCAAGTGACTTTTTTTTTTGTAGGAGGTGGTGGTGGTGAGAGGCAGTGCTGGTAGTGGGGAAGGAGCAGAAAAAGCTTACTGAAGGAAGTGATATTTGAACTAAGCTTTGAATGAAACTAGAGATTCTAAAAAGTGAATGTGAGGAGGGAGTTTATTCCAGGCATGGGGGCAGCCTATGCAAAGTTATGGAAATGGGAGATAAAGTACCATGTTGGAAGAACAGAGAGAAAGTTTGGTTTGGCTACATTATAGTGTGTGAAGGGATATAATATATAATAAGGCTGGAAAATTAGGTTGGAGCTAGGTTGTAAAGGGCTTTCAATACCAAGCACAAGAATCTATAGTTAGCCCTAGCTATAAGAGGAAGCTGATGGAATTTATTGGTTTTTGTTTTTGTTTTTTTGGTGAGGTGATCGGGGTTAAGTGACTTGCCCAAGGTCACACAGCTAATAAGTGTTAAGTGTCTGAGGCTGTATTTGAACTCAGGTCCTTCTGACTCAAAGGCCAGAGCTCTATTTGCTGTGCCACCTAGCTGCCCCTGCTGGAGTTTATTGGGCAGGAGAATGAGATGGTTGAAGACATTTGCTCTAGGAATATCACTTTGGCAGCAATGTGGAAGGTAGATCGGAAAGACTTCAGACAGGGAGACCAAAGGGTTGGCTATTACAATAGTCCAGGTGAGAGGTAATGAACTAGGATTGTGGCTGTGTGGCTGGAGAGAAGAGGACAAGATGGGAAAGATGTTGTGGAAATGGAATTGAGGAAACTTGGCAACTGAGTTATAAGCGTGAAGGAATGGAAAGAACTGAGGTTTTGAACCTGAATGATTGGAATGATGGAAGTGGCCTCAACAGAAACAGGATACTTCCCTCCTAGTTGTCTCCAGCCTATATCCATTTAGGATTCTAGATTGTCTAAGAAACTTAACTTTGGCCTTCTCTTCTTACCCCTGGGTCTTGGATGGCTTGTCAGTGGTGGAAAGGAAGCTCAGTTGCACCTTTACTCATTTTGACCTTAGTATATCTCCCTGCCTCCAATCTCTCCTCTTCTGGTCCCTCCTAGTCAGTCAATCTAGAAGCATTTATTAAATGCCTGCTATGTGCCAAAGCTAAATCCTGGGGATGCAAAGAAAGGCAAAAGATAGTCTCTGCTTTCAAAGAACTGATAGTCTAATATGGGAGACAATATGAAAACAAGTATGTACAAACAAGATATATACAGATAAATTGGAGGCAAACAACTGAGGGAAGGCATTAGCAGCGACCTGCTCTGGCCATATCCTTCCACTGCTCTCCTTGGCCTGTGGAACAGAGGCCAGACTCCTTAGTGTGGCATTCCATAATTTGTGACTCCCTTCCTCAATCTTAACTTCTCATCCTTCCCTATTAGAACATTTTATTCCAATCAGACTCATTTATTTATTGAACCCTTTAAAAACTATGCTCATATTCACATCTGTGTCTTTGCTGAACTCATTTTCCCAGAGTATAGCTTTTCCCTTTTTTTCTATTCATGTGGATGTCTGTCTTTTGATGCCTAGTTAAAAACAAACAAACAAAAGGGACAGCTATGTGGTACAGTGGATAGAGTGCTAGCCCTGGAGTCAGGAGGCCCCAAGTTTAAAATCTGGCCTCAGATACTTACTAGCTGTGTGACCCTGGGCAAGTCACTTAACCCCAATTGACTAAAAAAGAAAAAAAAATCAAAGCTCAGTTAAAGTAACTTTTCATTATTATCAAATATTTTTCAAGTACTTACTATATGCCAGTCATTTGTGTTAAGCACTGGGGATAAAAAGAAAGAAAAAAAAACCCTACTCTCTGCTCTCAAGGAGCTCACATACTAATGAGAAAGATAATACACAAACAACTATGTAAATACATGATAAATACAGTAGATGGAAGATGAGGTGATGGGTGGAAGAGAAAGAAGCTTTTTTTTTTGTGAGGCAATTGGAGTTAAGTGACTTGTCCAAGGTCACACAGCTAGTAAGTGGAAAGGAGATTTAAGAGGCTGCCAGGGGGGCCAGAGGAGACAGCAGGTGGAGGTGAGGAGGGAGAACCTCTCCTAGGCTGTCTCATATGTGGTGTTTGACACGTCAGATGCTTACTAAATCTTTGTTCAATTTGCAGTCGGATTATTTTCTCCTCCATCTGACAGTGAGCTCCTTGAGTGAGCTCAGGTCTATCTTTTTTCCCACTTTGGCCTTATTGAAGGTGTAACCTGGGGCCTCCAGCATAAGAGATGCTCAAACATGTTAAGTACACAGTCTGTGCAGAGCCCTGTGCTGGCACTGGGAAAAGGTAAGGTTAAAGAAGACAAAGTACTTACCCTCATGGAGCTTTCAATGTAACAATGGCACAAACACTATTACATGCTAAATGCCACTGAGAAAGGCAAAACAAAGGGGATGTGTGTGTGTGTGTGTGTGTGTGTGTGTGTGTGTGTGTAGGGGGCTTCATTGCCATTCAGCAGCATTATGGAGGCTCCTTGGAGGAGAGGGTATTTGAGTTGACCTTCAAAGGAGAACTGCAAGTTAAACAGGTGAAGAAAGGGAAGGAGGGAACTAATAGCAAAGGCATGGAGGTGGGAAAGTGTAAGGTGTGTTTGGAGAACCAAGAACAGTCCAGTTTGGTTACAGCATGTGTAAAGGTTGGGAAAATATGAGAAAAGAGAAGGAAATAAGCAATTATTAAATGCCTAATATGTACCATGGGCAGTTAGGTGGTGCCATAGTGCACAGAGCTCTGGGCTTGTAATCAGGAAGACTCATCTTCATGAGTACAAATCCAGCCTCAGACACTTCCTAGCTGTGAGACCCTGAGCAAGTCACTTCACCCTCTTTGCCTCAGTTTCCTCATCTATAAAATGAGCTGGAGAAGGAAATGACAAACCACTGCAGTATCTCTGCCAAGAAAACCTCCAAATGGGGTCATGAAGAGATAGACATAATTGAAAAGACTGAACAAAAACAAATATGTACCATGTACCATACGCCATGGTAAGTGATTTATAAACATTGTCTCATTTGATCCTGACAACAACCTTGGGAAGGCTAAAATAGGCAGACTGGCTCCAAACTGTGTAAATCCCAGATCAGTCTGACCTTTACTTGCAAAACAATAGGGAGTCATTGAAGGATTTTAGGGAGAGATGTAACTTGACCTCATTTAAGTGTAAAGAAGATTTATTCCAGGGGCTAGATTGGAAGAGGAAGAGCATGAAAGTAGGAAGAACCCAAAGGAAGTGTGATTGGATTCAATTGCTGGTTACAACTCTGGGTTTTAGGAGGCTATTGTTCAGTTGGATGGTTGTGAAGGTTAGTAACTAGGGTTGGGACTTCGGGGGGGGAGGGGATAAAAATGAGAAGAGAATTCACAGGACCTGGTATCTGATTGGACATGAGGAATAAGGGAGAGAGCAAAACAAAAGCTAACATCCATGCTTCAAAAATGGGAGACTTGGTGAATGACTTTCCCTCCCATAGAATTGAGGAAGACTGAGGGAAGAACAAGGTTAGGAGAAGAGAGGAAGAAAAAAAGTATTTGCTAAGTGTCTACTATGTGCCAGGCACTGTGCTAAGCACTTAACAAATATTATTTCATTTGATTCTCACAACAACTCTGGGAGGTAGGTACTATTATTATCTCCATTTTGCAGTTTAGGAAACTGAGGCAGACAGAGCCCAGGTGACTTGCTCAGGGTTATAGCTAGTAAGTATGTGAGGCTGAATTTGAACTTAGATCTTCCTGACTCCAGGCCCAGCAGACTCTCCACTTTTTCTTAGAGGGAAAGATAATGAACTCAGTTTGAGACATGTTGAATTTGGGGTGCCAGTGGGTGGGACATCCAGGGGAAGATGTCCTGTAGGCAGTTAAAGACATAGGTATTGAACTCAGATGACAGGAAAAGACTGGTGGCAGTGATTTTTGAAGGCAACTCCACAGAGGTGATAGTTGAAACTGGGGGAGTCAATGTTCAGAAGTTGTTGTTTGGCCTCCGGCACTGAAGGTGCTGACCCAGGTGAGGCAGGGCCAGGAGGAGATCTAAGCCTACTCTCACAGAAGTGAGCCTCCTGAATGGCAAGGCTTAAGCCCTGTATCTCCTCTTAACCAGTCTACTTCTTCTCATTTAGTGAGCAGAGAAGCTAACGCACAATGAAGAATAAATGGCCACAATAACTGAGGGAAGAAGGTGGGGAGCTAGATGCCAGGAAGGCACCTTACGTTAGTCAAGCAAGAGAGAGAATGATAGAAGGAGAAGGCAAGAGTCACACAGTGAGGAGAGAAGCCCTTTGCTACTGATCTCTGCTCCAGTTCCATTTCCCCATAGAAGGCTACAAAGGAATGGGGAGGGACCTTCCAGAAAGAGTGAGCACTGAGGAGGGACAATAATACTAGTTAGCATTTGTACAGCACTATAAGTTTGCTAAGCCCTTTACACACACAGCCTCATTTGATCCCTACAAGCAATCTGTGAGATCATTCTCTCTTATCCTCATTTCACACATAAAGAAACCAAGGCCCAGGTAAGTGACTTGTCATGATCAGTAAGTATCTGAGGCAAGATTTGAAGGCAAATTTTCCTAACTTCAGGTCCATTGGTCTAACCAGTGTGCCACACCACTTCTTGGAAATGGAAGGAGGATGTGGATTCTTCAATGTGGATACAATGGAAGTCCATTGGATTTGGGATTTGAGAAACTTGGGTTAGAGTTCTGACTATATAATGTATTAGCTTGTGTAGCCTTGAGGAAACCACTTAACCAGTCTTAAGTTTCTTCATTTACAAAATAGGTTAGATGGCCTGCTCATCAAATTTGTGGATGAAAAGTGTGAGAGGAATAGATCATACTTTGGATGACAGAGGTATGATCCAAAACAATCCTGACTGGCTAGAGCAGTGGTTAGCAAAATTTTTAGTCTTAAGACCCCTTTACACTCTTAAAAATTATCAAGCCTCCCCAAAGAGCTTTTGTTTATGTGGGATGTATCGATCACTATTTACCATATTAGAAATTGAAGTAGATAAATTTAAAAATATTAATTCATTAAAAATAACAATGAATTCATCACACGTTAAAATAAATAACATTTTAAAATGAAAAAATAATTATATTTCCTAAAACAAGAACTTAGAAGAGTGGCATTGTCTTACATTTTTGCAATTCTCTGTAATGTCTGCTTAATAAAAGACAGCTGGATTCTCATATCTGCTCTGCATTTAAATTGTTGTGATAGGTTGTTTTGGTTAAAATATGTGAAGAAAATTCAGCCCCCCCCAGGTATGTAGTTAGAAAAGAGAGGAATATTTTAATATCCTTTTCAGATAATTGCGGATATTCTTCTTTGAACTTGAGAAGTTGGTTCTATAAATGCAATATCAACTCAGTCTTCTTGTTGGCAGTTACATTTTCAATTCACTGGTCATGTTGCCTTGGGGAAACTCCCCTGTATACTCATGAGAGAGTGAGAATGGAAAAGGCAAACAACATCTGAAAATAGTTTTGACCTCATCAGCCTCCTGAAAAAGGTCTTGGGGACTGCCAGTGGTCCATGGACCACACTGAGAACTGCTGGGCTAGAGCATTAGGCTGAATCTAACAAGATCAAATTCAGTAGGGGTCAATGTAACATCTTACTCTTGAGTTCAGAAAATCAGCCGGACAAATTGAAAGTTGAAGAGATGTGGTTAGATTGTAGTTTGTCTGAAAAAGATTTAGGGGGAAGGCTTAGTGGATTTCAAGCTAATTATGACTTAGCAACCAGAAAAGGCTATGTGCCTTTGGGCTGTATTAGAGAGGCATGGTTTAGTGTTGTGTTCAGTTCTAGGTGTCACAGTTTAGGAAGGACATTGATAAGGTAACAAAAGTCCAGAGGGCAGCCAGGATGGTTAGTGAAGAGCCTGAAGACCCCACCATATGAGAATCAGTTGATGATGTTGGGGATGAATAGCTTGGAAAAGAGAAGATCTAGGGGAGACATGAATGAGAATAGTCTTCAAAAACATTTGAATGGCTGTAATGTAGAATGTGGATTAGGCTTGGGGGGGGAATAGAAATTGCAGGGGAGTGAGGTGTGTGTGTGTGTGTGTGTGTGTGTGTGTGTGTGTGCGAAGTGTGTAGAAATTGCCAAGACAACTTTAGATGTGATGTCAAGAAAACCTTGTAACAATCAGAAATTTCCAAAAGTGGAATGGGCTGCCCTGGATTGCTTTCTCTTTCTTTGGGGGTCTTCAAACTGAAGCCAGATGTCAGGCATGTTAGAGTGGGGATTCTTTTCGTGTATGGGTTAGACCAAATGACCACTGAGATCTCTTCCAATTCCACCATTCTGTGCTTCTGGGATGCACCAGAGAAGCTGTGAGGGTCAAGTGAGATTATAGATATAAGGTGTCTCATAAACTCTATAGTGCTATAGGGATCAGGGTGATTATTATTATACAAGGGAATAAGAAGCTATGAGAGTGAGCAGCGTTGGGTTTGGAAGAGCTGGATGGAGATCTATTGTCTTTTGTGGTGAGGGCAAAAAGGGAACACAAAGTTCTTGGTATGAAACTCTGCTCACCAGGGGGTGTTCATGTTTTCAGTGACTGGACCAAGGGATCTGATTGGACTAAAGAAGTACATTGATCAAATCCGAGATGACACCAACCGAACCATAACTGAGCTTCAAGATTTAATTGGTGAGAAAACACTGCTGAGACTGGGTGAAGGGAAAAGGTGGGAGCATGAGCAAGATCCCACCAGGTCTTAGTTTCCTCCTGTTAAATGAAGGAGGTAGACTAAATGGCCAATGAGTCCCTTCCAGATCTAGATCTACAATGTTATGAAGCATTCCCTGCCATTAGGCAGCTTGCATTCTATTAGGGGAAATCATTATGAACAAAGATAAGTGATACAATGGGGGAAATTCCAGCTCTAGAGACAGAGGACCTGGGTTTAAATCCCACCACTGTCAGTTACTACCTATGTGACCTTGGGTAATTCATTTAACTTTCTTAGACTTTCTTTAGTCTACTCATTTTTAAAATGTGGGGGTTGAATTCAAGGGCCTCTGGGATACTTCTCTATGCCAGACTCGGATGTTTATGATATTCTTGTGTGATGGACAAAGGAGAATCATTATCCTCACTTTCTAACCTCTCTAGGACCAAGGCAACCATCCACAGGCATAGGGGAAAGAATGATGGATTAGGGGTCAGAGGCTCTGGGTTTGGGTTCAGTCTCTGTTACTAGCTGGGTGACCTTGGACAAGGTCCTTTTCCTTTCCTGGGTCTCTATTTTCTCATCTGTAAAATAAGGCAATTGGACAAACTCATCCTTAAGTTCCCTCCTGGCCCTAAATCCTTGGGTGCTGTTACTGGAATCACCTTGGCTGGGGTTCAAGAATGGCCCACAGTGGCATCATCTTGTCCTTCAGGCTGCACCAGAAAGTCCTGTCCAAAGAACTGGCTTCCTTTTGGGGAAAGCTGCTACTTTTTCTCTACAATAACCAAGAACTGGGATGCTGCCAATATATTTTGCCTGGAGAATTACTCTCATCTGGTCATCATCAGCAACACTGAGGAACAGGTGAGCCATTCCAGGGACTGGGGTAAGTGGGAAGGAGGAAGTATCCTAGGTAGGGACCAGGCCTTTGGTCCTCCAAGAGCTTATGTACTGATGTAGTACAACAAACTCTGGACTGGGAGTCACAAGATGTGGATTTGAGTCTTTGTTCTGACACTTATAATTGAGTGATTCTGAGCAAGTTACTTAATCTGCTTGAGTCTTAGGTTGCTCACCTGTGAAATGGGCCTAATCATCCTCATATGATGAATCCCCCAGGGTTATTGTGGGGAAAATGCTTGTCAGCCTTAAAGCCTAGTAGAAATCAGTTATCATTATTATAGTTCTTTGATCTCTCACCCCATGGGCCAATAGAATTCATGGTAAGGATGTTTTCTGAGTACCCAGACTTCTAGTACTTTTTCCTGAGTGAACTCAACCACACAGAGGACTGACTTAGCCCACAAGTGACCTAGTGATTCCAGGGCAAATGGAATGGGAAGATATCCTGCTCCTCCAGGGCACCCAGAGCTCTGTGCTTGGCTATTTTTTAAAAATTGATTTTTATTGATATCTTTTGTTTTTACTTCATTCAGATTTCCCCTGTATCTCTCCCCCACACAGAGAGTCATCCTTCAAATCAAAGAATTTTTTTTAAGAAGGAAGAAGAGAAAAAAAAATGTCAACAAAGCCGATCAACTGTGATGTTTAAAAAGGTTCAAGAGACATAGTTTCTGAGTAATTTGCTCATTTTATTAGTAAGACCAGAAGGTTATTAATAAAAAAAAATGGTCATTTGGCATCTTTCTCTTACCAAAGACAATCATGGCAGCAGACTCACAGTTTATACACCCTTCCAATAGGGGCTGATGCCACCCCATCATCATGTCACCCCTGGACAGAGAAAATATCTCCATACCAGACCACTCCTTTGGCTATTTAGACAAAAGGATCTGTTTCCACCCACGTTTGAGGAGAACACAATGGACTTCCCCACCCTATATTTAATTCCTAGCAAAGTTGGGTGGGGTCCACTTGGGAGATCAGTGCAATCTCATTATCAGTGAAGTCCTTCAAGAAAAGGAAACTTTTTAAAATGAGTAATTTAGAAGGGGAGAACCTCTGAATCTTCCCAAGATATTGGTTATCGGTTATCATTTCTCACATAGCACATCAAAAAACCTGAAGTTGTATGCAATGTTCCACACTTGTTCCACTCTGCAATGAAACAAGCCTTAGGGTCTTCTCAAATCTCTTCTTTAGGGCCATCCTTTTTTTTTTTTATAATAGATTTATAATGTTTTATAATTTTGTAACATTCGCTTTTGATTGCTTTGTTTTAATAGTTTTGTAACATTCACTTTCAATTGTCTTGTGGCTGCCCTTCTCTCCTTTTGTCTTAGTCATTGTCTATTCTTGGCTTTAGAGATGCTAATGGCATCATCCCCATCTCCATGGAGGAGGTTAGATCTCAGGTACTGGGGCAGGGGTGGGGCTTGTTTTTAGGGTTACAACATAGATTTAGAACAGGAAGGGACTTTAGAAGTCACTGAGGCCAGTTCCATCACCTATTGGAAATTAAGAGCTGAGAAATGAAATGATGATTCCAATATCATATAGATAGTAAGTTGCAGAGCCAGGATTTGCACCCAAGTCCTCTGACTCCAACTCCAGTACTTTGCTTTGTACTTATCATGTCCCTGGTGGCTCTGACTCACGTTTTCTGTCAGCCCCAGAACTTGTTAGGCAGGTGGGTTATGTCAGATTGTTACAAGGAGATTTCCTCACCCAGACTTCTAGTACTTTTCCTGAGTGAACTCAACGACACAGAGGACTGACTTAGCCCACAAGTGACCTTGGATTAGAGACAACAGTATAGCTAACATTTATTGAGCACATTAAATTTTACATAGCACATTGCATAAATCAGTTCACTTGAGGGCAGCTAGGTGGCACAGTGGATAGAGCATTGGACTTGGAATCAGGAAGGCTCATCTTCCTGAATTCAAATCTGGCCTGAGACACTTACTAGCTGTGTGACCCTGGACAAGTCATTTGCCCTATTTGCCTCAGTTCCTCATCTGTAAAATGAACTACAAAAGGAAATGGCAAACCACTCCTTTGCCAAGGAAACCCCAAATGGGGTCACCAAAAATTGTACAGGACTGAAAAATGACTGAATAACAAAAAGCTTATCTGAGCCTCACGAGCACCTATGGTTACCATTATTCCAATTTTATGAATAGGGAAACCGAGGCTTAAAGAAGTTGTGATTTGCCCAATGTCACACAGCAAATGTCAGGGGTGGGATTCAAACTGAGATCTTGCCTGCGTCTGCTATCACGCTGTCTTGTAGTAAAGGCAGCCCAGTGGATAGAGCACTGGACCTGGAGTCAGGAAGACTTATAATTAAGTACAGTTTCATATACTTATTAACTGTATGACCCTGGGCAAGTCACTTAACCTTTGTCTATCTCAGTTCTCTCATCTGTAAAAAGGGGATGATAACCAATCTATTAGAGTCATGAAGATAAAATGAGGTAATATTTGTAAAACCCTTATTATGTGCCTGGAACATACTAATTAGGTACCAATAGGTACTAATTAGCTACTTGTTAAAGGAAAAAGTGAGGACCTTTGGTTTTGGAGTCAAATAACCCAGGATTTCAGTTCTGGATCTTATATACACTTATTTCCTAGGATAGTTGTGAAGAAAGTAATTCATAAGCCTGTAAGTGCTATAGGAACAGGATTATTATCTTTTATTTAGATGCCTTCTAGGGTTGAAGGAATAAAAGGAGGAAACTCATTGGTAGTTGAAAGTCAAATGTAAAGGCTTTTTTTTTTTCAAGGCAGTTGGGGTTAAGTGACTTGCCTAGGGTCACACAGCTAGTAAGTGTCAAGTGTTTGGTCTGAGACTGGATTTGAACTCAGGTACTCCTGACTTCAGGGCTGGTGCTTTATGCAGTGCACCACTCAGCTGCCCCAAATGTAAAGGCTTTTGAAGAAAACTAGTCTTGAAGTCCCAGGACCTAGAGAAGAGTCTTCATTCTTTATGTAGGAAAATGGGATGGTTTGAAAATCCTTTAATTTTTTGGTGAGGCAATCGGAGTTAAGTGACTTGCCCAGGGTCAAGCAGCTAGAAAGTGTCAAGTGTCTGAGGCTGGATTTGAACTTGGGTCCCCCTGACTCCAGGGCCAGTGCTCTATCCACTGTGCTGCCTAATTGCCCCCAAAAGAAAATTCTAACCAAGGTCTTTAAATAAGATTAAAGATTGGAATAAATGGCTAACAATTAATGATCAGTGAGACAGGTACCAAATTTTACTTCAGTGTTTGTTTTCTTTAATAGCTTATTATAAAGGCACCCTCTTTTAAAGAGGTATAGTGCTGTTGAATGGAAATAGTCAAGGATGCTGCTAAGAAGCTATGTGACCTCAGGTGAATAACTTAGGATTTCTGAACCTGTTTGTCTTTCTTTTGATTGGATGGAATTGACCCAGATCAGGAATTCTTAACCTTTTTGGTGTCATATACCTCTTTGGCAGTCTGGTGAAGCCCCTAGACTCCTCTTAATAATGTCTTTAAATGCATAAAATGAAATTCATAGCATTACAAAGGAAATTAATTATTGCAGTGTTTAAAAAGCTTGAGACATAATGTCTGGATAATTAATCATTTTATTAATAATGCTAGCATATTACCAATAAAATGGATCTCGAATATCAAAGACAAATCATAAATGGACTCACAGAATGGGTGTTCCTGAGGGTGGCAATCAAATTAACAATTAATGAGCGAGGAACCTATTTTAATGAGGGGCTAGAGGTAGGTGGGAGTCCATCATTGACCTGGTTCATGGGCCTGATCACCTCCTTCATACTCATGTCCCAGCTGCATATAGTTAACCCCCTGCATCAGGTACAGGATGATAGCCAACAGCCCTGTCTGGCTTTAAAACCTAAACTGGTTGGGATCATATAATTAGAGGTAGAAAAGTACCTTAGAAGTCACATTGTCCAACCTCTGATTCTATATTTTTTGCACATGAGGAAACCTGGGCCCAGGAAGAAGAGACTTGTCCAAGGGCCCCTAAAGAGAGGGTTATCAAAGGTTCAGATTATTTGCTGTCTAAGCAGCAGAGCTGGGATTCCAATTGAGGCCCTCTGATTCTGAATCCAGAATTCTTTTCACTGTCCCATGCTGCCTCATGTTTATATGTATGTATGTATGTGTGTGTGTGTGTGTGTGTGTGTGTGTGTAGTGTGTATATACACTGCATATGTCATTTAAATTGCCCAGTCTTGGGCAATCTAATCAAAGCGTTTTCCTCTACCCAAACCTGTATAGAACATAGTAGGTTTTCCCATTTTAGGTTGGGTGGGGTCTGAACAAGATTGAGAGAAAGTTATTTAAATCTCATTATCAGCTATGTCTTTCAGAGTTTAAACAATCTACAGGCTTCTGAAAAATCCTGGTCCTAATTCAATAATTGATTATTAATATGAAGGAGAAATAATCATTTCTCTCATTATATTAAAATATAGTTATCAAAATAGTTCTTTAAAAGATGCCATGGACCCCTGATGAAGCATTGTCTGTCTCTGAGAGCCCTTTCAGCTCTGATTATGTAGGGTTCCACAAAAGCATCTGTGTATCTTCTGGTTATAATGAAACATATTAATTTTTGTTATTGTCAAGAGATATTTAGAAATATATACAAAACCACACAAATTGTAGGATTGAACTTAGTTGTTGTGAGGGTGGGGTGGGGCGGTGGAGGGTGGATGCTGTAATAGCCACAGGGATGAAAGGGAGTGGACACGGCAGAGGCAGGAGTCCCTAGCAAGTGCTGAGTTACTATGTTACTGGGAATCCAAAAATGGCTTGGGAAGTTCTTTTCAAAAGCAGTGATGCTCAAGACGGAACTAATGGATGGAGGTGGTTGGAGCAACAGGAGGGGAAGACTGGGCAATGCGGTCAATTTAGTGCTCTGGCTGTGGATTCATCCGGATTTCTATTTCCAGAATTTTGTGACAGAGGCCCATTCCTCAAAGAGGACCTACTGGCTGGGACTGACTGACAGAGAGGTGGAAGGGGTGTGGCAATGGCTGGATGGGTCCTTGCTTACTTTAAGGTAAGTTCTGTCTGTCTCCAGGGTTTCTACCTCTCCTGCAGTGGAGCAAATTGTGTGGGCAGAAGAGTTTGGGAATAGCATGTACACAGACAAGTGAATACGAAGTATATACAACAAGACTTTGTATTTGCAAAGTTGATTAGTCCATCAATATGTCAAGCAGGGAGTGCATTTCAGGTATGGAGGATGCATCAGGTGCACAAGGGCTTTAGAGAGGGCAGGACTCAGAGCTCAGGTGATGGCTAGTCAGTCTTCCCATCTTGGCTACGACAGAATGAATGAATGAAGGGGAGCAATGAAGAAAGGCAACTGAGATAGATTGGAGTCAGGTTGCGGCAGGCTTTAAACACCGGGGTGATGAGCCAACAATACCCTACTTAGTAAATAAGGTTAATGGGATGGGGATAATCCTCTCAAGAGCCAGGGACAACCAAAACCTAGTCCCACTGAGCAGTACTCAGGGGAGTTCTGACAGTGACTTCCTGTAAAGAAAAGTCTCCTTCCTAGAAGCAGTGAGTTTTAGGGGAGAATTAAGGGAGGAGGAGGAGAAGGTAATGGTGGTGGAGGACAAGGAGGAGGAAGAACGAATTTGTTTTAGAGAAAGGCAGATTTCCATTCGAACTAAGGCAAAACTTGCTAACAATTAGACTGCTCCAAAGTGGAAAGAGTTATCTTGGTAGGTGTCACAGACCCCTTTGGCAATGTGGTGAAGTCCCTAGACCCCAACAATGGGTATCATCAAGCTCCCAGGATACTATTATTGTGGGGGTTGTTACTAGCATTTATATAGCACTTTAAGAGTTGCAAAGTGCTGGGCCAGCTAGGAAGCACAGTGGATAGAGCTCCAGCCTTGGAGTCGAGAGGATCTGAGTTCCAATCTGGACTCAGATGCTAGATACTTATAGCTGTGTGACCCTGGGCAAGTCACTGAACCCCACTGCCTAGCCCCCCCAAAAAAAAAAGATTTGCAAAGTGCTTTAGAAATACTTCATTTGGATCCTTAAAGCATTATTCTTATTTATTTATTTTTTGCTTTTAGGCAATTGGGGTTAAGTGACTTGCCCAAGGTCACACAGCTAGTAAGTGTCAAGTGGTTGGTCTGAGGCTGGATTTGAACTCAGGTCCTCCTGACTTCAGGGCCAGTGCTCTATCTACTTCATTACCTAGCTGCCCCAGCATTATTCTTATTTTAAAATGAGGAGACTGAAGCAGTTAAAGGTTAAGTGATTTGCCCAGGATCACACAGCTAGTAAATGTCTAAGGCTGGATTTATCTGAACTCAGATCTTCCTGACTCCAGGTCTAGGACTTTATCTACCATACCACTGTGTCTTTCTGGTGGGAGAGACTAGGTAGCCTGAGATAGGATTATGCAGTTCACAGAGGAAGGAGAGGAGCTAGGTGGAGTAAGTTAGAGCAGATGACGTAAGTTGTTATCAAGAAAATTAAGTTCTGAAGTTTAGGAAGGTGACATTGTGACTTGTCAATGGATGAAAGGGGCACTAAACATGAATACCTTTATTGTTTCAACTCTTCTCTCTTCTCTCTAGCTTCTGGAAACTAGGGGAGCCCAATAATGTATACAATGAAGACTGTGTCATCATGCTCTTAGATGGCCAGTGGAATGATGTATCTTGTCTCTTGACCACGTATTGGATTTGTGAGAAGAAATCTACTTGTTGATTCTCTCAAGTGAAGCTGGAGGCTGGACCCAGGGCCTCCTCTTCTTAGATGAGTGGTCAGATTTGGGGTAGAAACTTACCCTTTCAGAAAATGGTCCCCAAGTCTTTGCTTGTCAAGGGTCTCAGACTGCTATGACATTGATTTCCTCTCCACAACACCTGACTCAGCAGTGTCCAGCAAGATGGATGTCAGTTTAATTTCAAGGACCAGGATTTGGGTCTGAATATCCTATAATGTGACAATAAACAGTGAGCTGAGCCCACTATGAGGTGGGTAGGATGAAAGTAGGGGGCAGAAGATCAATCTGGCCCTTGGCACTTGGTCCCCACAGCCTTGATGACTTCATTTGGGCCACTATGCAGTTGAAGACCATCACTAGTCCCAAGGGCTCTTCGGAGTTTGGGCTGGGGGGTTTAGGTTTACTTCCAGACAGATCAAGGATTTGCTTTGGTCCAAGAACTTGGAATCCCTACTTCAATCAATATGGGTTGAGTTTTAAGGAAGGCTCTAGGTCTCATAGGGTTTCTTGGATGAGGGAAAACATAAAACTGGGTTATGCCGCTTAGTTGCTGTGACTTCTCTAGGTCCACTCTGGAGGTTTGAGCAGAACCGAACTAACCTTTGAGGGATAGGTGAAGGAAGGCATCTCTTACCACATTTCATGGATTCTGGAACGGCCTGAGTTAGGTTTATCCCAGGCAAAGTGGCAGAGTGGGAGTCCATCATTGACCTGGTTCATGGGCCTGGTCACCTCCTTCATACCCATGTCCCAACTGCACATAGTTAACCCCCTGCATCAGGTCCAGGATTATAGCTAACAGCCCTGTCTGGCTTTAAAACCTAAATTGTTTGGGATCGTATATTTAGAGGTACCTTGGAGGTCATATAGTCCAACCTCTGATTCCATATATTTTGCACATGCTGAAACCTCGGCCCAGGAAGAAGAAAGGACTTGTCCAAAGGCCCCTAGGGTTATCAAAGGTTCCAGTTATTTGCTATCTTGGTAGCAGAGCTAGGATTCCAGCTGAGGCCCCCTGATTCTGAATCCAAAATTCTTCTCACTGTCCCATCCATGCTGCCTCATTGGTCTTATCTTTAGTTATATCTATTTCTTTCTAAGTATTTATACACACACATATACCCACCCATACACACATAAATGCTCATGATATATACTTTATATATAAGTTTTTATTACATATAAATATATAAAGTTCACATACATAGACACACAGACACACAGACACAGACACAGACACAGACACACACACACACGCGCACACACACACACACACACACACACACACACATTTTGCTGGCTTGAATCTTAAAACTAAGATCATGGCCACTGGTCCCATCACTTCCTGGCAAATAGAGGGAGAAGAAATGGAAACAGTATCAGATTTTATATTCTTGGGTTCAAAGATCACTGCAGATGGTGACTGCAGCCAGGAAATTAAAAGACCATTTGTTCCTTGAAAGGAAGGCTATAGCAAATTTGGACAGCATACAAAAAAGCAGAGACATCACTTTGCTGACAACGGTCTTTATACTCAAAGCTATGGTTTGTCCAGTAGCAATGTATGGCTGTGAGAGTTGGATTATAAGGAAAGCTGAGCACCACAGAAGCAATGCTGTTGAATTCTGCTGCTGGAGAAGACTTTTGAGAGTCCCTAGGGCAGCAAGGAGATCAAATCAGTCACTTAAAGAAATTAATTCAGGCTAATCACTGGAAGGTCAATTACTGAAGCTGAAGTTTAAATACTTTGGCCATGTAATGAGAAGGTAGGACTTATTAGAAAAGACCCTGATATTGGAAAAGATTGAAGGTGAAAGGAAAAGAGGATGGCAGAGGATGAGATGGATAGATAGCATTATGGAAACAATGAACATAAACTTGGACAGGTGTCCAGAGATAGAGGAGAATAGAAGGGCCTGGCATGCTATGGTCCACAGGGTCACAAAGAGCTGGACACCACTGAGCAACTGAACAACAATGCATATATACTTCATTTATATATGATTATATATATATATACACACACACACACACACACACACACACACACACACACACACATATCTACATATACACTTATAAAATTTGTCGAGAAGTGGAAAAAGCAACAAAATTAAACTCTTTTGGCTTCATATTCTTTTCTGATTGTCATTATTTTGTGTACACATGTTTTTAGGCCTGTAACTCACGTGTAGAAACAAATTTGTGCTAGCTTTTTTCATCTCCCATGACTTCATGTGTACTTAGTGATGGGCTATGTGTCTGTCCTTAGCCCTTTATTCTACCTAAAAAGGATTGAGAAGCTTATGCTTGGCAATTGATCAATCAATAAACAGTTATTGAGTGCTTAGTATGTGCCTGGCACTGTGCTAGGTACTGAATATACTTGTATTAAAGTAAAAGAGTTCCTGCCTTCAGGGAACTTACATTCTATTTGGGAGACAAGGATATGACCATTTCCTTAATAATACATTCTAGGATTTTTGTCTGGAATTGATGTTAACCTGGCTAGCCTATGGTTTGTAGATGATTCTATGTAGGCACAGGCTTCCATCCTTGCTAGACCTGGCTGGCTTTACTTTATGCTGGTCTTGACAACTATGGCAGTGATGGCTGATGAGGAAGAAGAAGATGTGGTCATGGAAACTGAGGCAGACAAAGAGTAGCAGCTGATGCAACTTAGGCCCAGTCACGGCACCACCACCTCTGCTGCTCTTACCTCCGATCCCTACTTTTCGTGCATAGGAAATAGGCTACTGCTGCTCCCAGTGATTGCCACACATTGTCCAATGATGGATGGCAGCTGTTTGGGGGCATCTGAAGAATTCTGATGAGCTGCTAATAATCCCTTCAGCCTATTTTTTGGGGCTGAGGCTGTGGCCACCATGGAACAGCTCTAATATAACTCAAGTCTGGCCTGCACTCTGGCTTGTAGCTGTTCCCCAAATTTCCTACCGGCCATCTAGGAAATCCTCCACTTTCCACCAAGAAAAGGGAGACATGTTTTGTCATGGGCTTGCCAGGGCCAAGATGGGTCATTATGTAACCTATAGCCCAGGGACCTTCAGTATCCTTGACTAAAACAGACTGGGTCTGATCTTATGAACTTACCTCAAAGTGGGGCAGTTTCTCCATTTTGGCTTGTTATAACACTTCCATGTTGGAGTTTGCTTGGGGGGAAATCTTTAAATATAGCTTAGGTATAGCTTGAGCTAGCCTTTCCCATATATGAGTAATGGAGTTTCTTTAGCTTCCATACAGACCCTTAAAGTTTCAGTGCACATTTGGCTCAAAATGTCTTTATTTTATTTCACCGAAAATGAAAAAGGAAGCAACAGTCTCATTATTACCTCCAGGATCAAATATAAAGTCCTGTTTGGCTTCTAAAGCATTTTATAACCTGGCCCTTTCCTACTTTTCCAGTCTTCTTATACCTTACTCCCCTCCTCATACTCTATGTTCTAGTAACAGTGACCTTCTTGCCGTTCCTTGCACATCATGCTCCATTTCCTGACTGAGCATATTTTATGGCTCTTCTTCATACCTGGAATACCCTTCCTCACCATCTTTGCTTCCTAGCTTCCTTCAAACCTCAGCTAGAGTCCCATGTTCTTCAAGGAGCCTTTCACAGTCCTCTTTGGTCTTTGTGCCTACCCTCTGAGACGATCTCCCATTCATACTGTGTATGTCTTCTTTGCACATAGTTTCTGCATCTTGTCTCCCCCATTAGACTGTGAGCTCCTTGAAAGAAGTCATGTATATATTTTCTTTGTATCTTCAGTGTTTGGTACGGTGTCTGGCACATAGTAGGAGCTTAATAAATTCTAATTTGCTAATGATGGGCTATACTGTTCTTAATAGTTGGCACAACAGTGGGTTCTTCTATACCCTTGAGCCTAAACTAGTAAACGATCTTGGAGACAGCCCAGGTCTCTGAAACCCAGCCAGTAATTCCCTTCTGTCCTTTTAGTAGGGTGCCAATGAACATGCTCCCACTCTTTTGGGAGGCGCTTTTCAGATGCCTCCAAGTGAAGACACATATCCTGTAATACTATTGAGATGATCAGGGCCCTCATCAAATTGATAAGGAGCTCTTCTGATCACTCACTCCCTTACTTCCAAATGCAGCTAATCAGAGTCTGATCACTTTTCAGAATTTCAACTTATATTTTTGTAGTCATTATGTGTATTTTGTATGCAGTCGTGTGCATATTCTGCTTATTTTACTCTGTATTGTTTTGGAGACTTGAGTGCCTGCCTTCATGATCATTGACCAGTTCAGGCTCAGGGGTATGGAAGAACCCAACGTTGTGCCAGCCACTAAGAACAGTGTAGTCCACCATTAGTCAATTAGCAATTATTAAGCACCTACTATATACTAGGCACTGTGTCAAGCATTGGGGATACAAAGAAAGGACCCTTCCCCCCAGTCACTTCTCTCAAGGAGCTCACAGTCTACTTGGAAAGACAAAATGCAAAAATGATGTACAAAGTGTTTAGACTAGGTTGATCAACAAAGGAATAGAGAATGGGAGAATGAATATGAGAGCTGCTGTGGAGATGAAAATGATGACATTTAATAACCCATTCCATCTGAGAGGCGAGAAAAATGGAGGAGTTCATCACCTCAAGGTTTCAAATATGGGAAACTTGGGTAACAGGTGATGCCAAAATTAGGAACAGTGAAGTCAGATGGAGGATCAAGTTGAAGGGGAAAGATATTGGGCTAAATTTTGTACAAGGTGAGTTTGAGGTGCCAATGGGACATGAAGGTCCTGTAGACAACTGTGGTGCCAGCATGGAGCTCAGACTAAGAGATCAGGACTAGAGATGGACATTTGAGAGTCATCTGGAGAGAGGCAACAGTTGACCATGGGGGAGTAACCATCTGTCCTATACCTGCCCCTCCTCCAAACTCCTTTTCAGGTACGGCATATTCCAGAATAGGGAAAGGTGCCTGGCAAGAGAATGGAGTGTATCTAGAGCAGAGACAGAAAAAGATTCAGCTCCCTAACTGAAAGCTTTTTCTAGACTGCTGCCCCAGGCATAGAATGCAGCCTAGGATGAAATGCTATGGAATGAATGCCTTTAGATGTCAACAACTTGAAAAAGAACATGAGGTGAACATCTATCATATTCCTGGTGAGGTTCAACAATGTTTCTTTCCATCTTGGCTCTGTTGGCAACAATCCCAGTTATGAAGGATGGCCAGATGAGACCCCTGATCCCCAGGGGGTGGAAGACAGGCATGCAAACAGAAATAGCTAGGATGACAAAGGAAGCCAGAAGTGCAGCCATTGACCCCAGAGGGGTTTGACAAGCCTTGATGTTCATACTTATCTGCCCTACCCATAATTGGTGCATTCAGAGATGCTGGGGGTCTGCTTATTCTAGACTGTTATATTTGTAAAGGCCTGCAGCTCCTTTTGTCTTATAACATATATATAAGAATATATAAAGAATATAAGACAGTGCTCACCCTAACCAAGGAGGGTCACTTAGGATCAGCTTGCATTTCTCAGAAGAGCTGCTTCCCTGAGACTCTTCTGCTCCATATCACTGGATCAGAATGACCATCTAGACCAGATGGTAGGAAAGCAAATCAGCACATATCCTAGCATCTTTTCTGTATGCTTGTATGTTACCAGTGGTCTGTATCCTATTAGATTGTAGGTGGCACAGTAGATACAGTGCTGGGTGAGTCAGGAAGACCTGAGTTCAAATCTGACCTTAGACATTTACTAACTTTTTAACTCTGGGCAAGTCACTTAACCTCTGTTGATCTCAGTTTCTTCATCTGTAAAATGGGAATAATGATAGCACCCAGGGTTGTTGCGAAGATCAAATGAGATTATAATTGTAAAGTGCTTGGCACAGTGCCTGGCACATAGTAAGCACTACACAAATATTAGTCATTATTATTATTTTCCCACTTAGGTTGTAAGCTTCTTGAGGGCAGGACTGTCTTTTGTTTCTTTTTGTATCCCCAGTGCTTATCATAGTGCTTCATACACAGTAGGTGCTTAATAAATGTTGATTGATTTTTAGAAACTCTGGTGTTTGGATCAAACTGAATGTAGAGCTGTGCTTCTGTTCTTTTCAATCTTCATATTGGTGTGGCAGACCCAGCCTTTTCCTTGCTGTAACCTGGAAAAGCCTTGGATTTTTCA